ACTTTGGGAGGCGGAGGTGGGCAGATGGCCTGAGCTCAGGAGTTCAAGACCAGCATAAGCAACACAGTGAAACCCTGTCTCTACAAAAATACAAAAACCTAGCCAGGCGTGGTGGTGCACGCCTGTAGTCCCAGCTATTCGGGAGGCTGAGGCAGGAGAATTGCTTGAATCCTGGAGGTGGTGGTTGCAGTGAGCCGGGATCATGCCACTGCACTCCAGCCTGGGTGACAGAGTGAGACTCCATCTCCCCCCACAAAATAAAATAAATAAATAAATTTTATTTTAGTTTCAAGGGTACATGTGTGGGTTTGTTATAAAGGTACGTTGTGTTTTGCAAGGGTTTGAAGTACGAATTGTTTTGTCACCCAGGTAATAAGCATGATACCCAATAGGGAGTTTTTCAATCCTCATCCTCCTCCCACCCTCCACCCTCAAGTAGGCCCTGGTGTCTGTTGCCTTCTGTGTGTCCATAGGTACTCAACGTTTAGCTCCCACTTATGAGTGAGAACATGTGGTACTTGGTTTTCTGTTCCTGTGTTAATTTGCTTAGGATGATGACCTCCAGCTCCCTCCTCAATGCAAATTTTAAAATGCCTTTATTCTGGAGAGAACCAACGCTGTTCTGCTGTGGTTTTTTTTTTTTTGTTAATGCAGTGGTTCTCCAGGTGTGGTCACCAAACCAACCACATCCCAGTGTCACCTGGGAGCGTGTTAGAAATAGACATTATTAGGCGCTGCTGCAGATGCACAGAATCAGAAACTCGGGGGGCCTGGGCCTGGGCATCTGTGTTTTAACAAGTCTGCTGGGTGATTCTGATGCACACTGAAGTGCGAGAGCCACTGGTTTCATGAGGAAGCCTGTGGAATACCTTCAATCAAACAGAGAATCTCAGATCAGCCAGGTATCTGATGGAAAGAGAAACTCTTGCTAATTGGTGGGGGTGCAATTTTCTGGGGTTTTATTTTGGTTCCCTATTGCAGTGGGGGGAAGAGTCCTGTTGACCAGATATAAAGGAGATATAGGTCCTGGAAATTAGGGGTGAAGGGGGTGTTTTCATGGACATTTCCAGAATGGAGCAAATCCACCTGGGTTTCATGGACCAAATCCATCTGTGGGGCAAGGATGGCAGAGAAACTGAGTCCCCATGCATCTCCAGATCAAGTGAGTCAAATGTTCCAAAGTACATCTGTTTAAAGGGTAAGCTTCTATGAGAGAGGAGTGTGTCTTGGTTTTCCCAGGACTTTTCCAGCTTTAGCATTGAAAGTCCCATGTCCCTGGAAGCTCCCCAGCCCTGGGAAAACCAAGGCAATTGGTCACTGGTCACTGTAGTTCAGAGATTGCCTGCTGGAATTACTTGGTGAGCTTTAAAACATACTGATGCCTGGCCCCCCCTCCAGAGATAACGTTAGACTTATTCTGGATGTTTAGAAGTTCCTCAGGTGATCCTAATGCAGCCAGGGTTAAGCCATTGCTGCAGCTGCTTGCCTACCATTTCTCCTATTTAAAAAAGTAAAATACGGCCAGGTGTGGTGGCTCATGCCTGTAATCCCAGCACTTTGGGAGGCTGAGGCGGACAGATCACGAGGTCAGGAGTTCGAGGCCAATATGATGAAACCCTGTCTCTACTAAAAATACAAAAAATTAGCCAGGTATGGTGGTGCCCACCTCTAATTCCAGCTACTTAGGAGGCTGAGGCAGGAGAATTGCTTGAACCCAGGAGGTGGGGGTTGTGGTGAACCTGGGTGACAGAGCAAGACTCCATCCCCCAAAAATAAAAAAATTAATAAATAAAACACAAAACACTTACAAGTCAATGGTTCTAATGAGGTTGAACCCCTACCACACATTATATACAAAAATTACCTCAAAATGGATGAGTGACCTAAATAGAAAGGCTAAAATTATAAAACGCTTGAAAGAACATACAGTGGTAAATCTTCATTACCTTAGATGTGGCAATAGATTCATAGATATAACAAAGCATGAGTAAGAACAACAAAAATAGACAAATTGGACTTCATGAAAAATAAAAACTTTTGTGCACAAAGGATATTATCCAGAAAGTGAAAAGATAGCCCACAGAGTGGGAGAAAATAATATATCTGATAATGGTCTAGTATTCAGCATATATAAAGAATTTTTATAACTCAGAAAAAGACAACCCAATTGAAAATGAGTTAAGGATTTGAATAGAAATTTCTCCAAAGAGGACATGTAAATACCAACAAGCACAAAAAAAGATGCTAAGCCTTATTAATCATTAGGAGAATGCAAATAAAAAACACAAATGACAGACCACTTCATGTCTACTAAGATGGATATAATAATAAAAACAATAATAATGGAAAATAAACGTTGGTAAGGATGTGGAGAAATTGGAACTCTCATACATTGCTGGTGGGAATGTAAAATGGTGCAACCACTGTAGAAAACAGTTTGGTGGTTCTTCAAAAAGTTAAGCATAGAATTACCATATGATGGCTGGCCACAGTAGCTCATGCCTGTAATCCCGACACTTTGGGATGCTGAGGTGGGTGGATCACTTAAGGTCAGGAGTTTGACACCAGCCTGGCCAAAGTGGTGAAGCCTGTGTCTATTAAAAATACAAAAATTAGCTGGGCATGGTGGTATACACCTGTAATCCCAGCTCCTTGGGAGGTTGAGGCAGGAGAATCCCTTGAACCCAGGAGGCAGAGGTTGCAGTAAGCCAAGATTGTGCCACTGCACTCCAGCCTGGGAGACAGAGTAAGACTCTCAAAAACAAAAAACAAAAAATTACCATATGACCCAGCAATTTTACTCCTAAGTATATACCCCAAAGAACTGAAAGCAGCTACCCCAACAAATCGTTGTGCACCAATATTCATAGTAGCATCATTCACAATAGCCAAAAGAGAAAAACAACCCAAGTGCCTATCAACACATGAATGAATAAACAAATTGTGGTATATCCATACAATGGAATATTATTTGGCCATAAAAAAGAATGAAATACTGATATATGCTACAACACGGGTAAACCTTGAAAATGATATACTAAGCAAAAGAAGCCAGTTATAAATGGTCACAGTAATGTATGATTCCACATATATGAAATATTCAGAATAGGTAAATCCATCGAGACAGAAAGCAGATTAATGTTGCCAGAGGCTGAGGGAGGATGGAATAGAGAATGAGTGCCTGATAGGTGCAGGTTTTTCTTTTGGGGTGCTGAAAAAGTTTTGGTATTAGACAGAGGTGCTGGTTGCAGAGCATTGTTTACATGGCTAATTGTGTGTTACATGGATTTCACCTAAATTAAAAGAAAATCACCAGGTTACTCTTATCTACAAAGTACAATAGAAATCAAGCTCTTTATAAGTCTGAGTCCTCCACAGCTGGCCTTTACACTCCTCGCTCACTGTAGCCTATCTTCTATCTCTCTCCTACCACGATATTACATGGAATCCTGTTGAATCCCAATGTGTCCTATATGTTCTGCTTCTGCTTCCAAGCTCACCAGTGTGCTTTGGAAAGTCTCCACCAGCAATTCCAGCCTATGGTCCTCTCTCAACTCCAGTGGCTCTTAACTTTATGCCCTTGACGCTTAGAGCATAGGCCCTGCTTGGCATCCCCTGGGAGCTTGGAAGAAAGGCAGAATCTGGAGTTCCACTGCAGACACGCTGAACAAGATCTTCAAATGATTAGGGCACATTAAAGTTTGAGAAGTGCTGGGTTGTACTAGTTGGCCCCAAGTCAGGCTGTGGATCAGAATCACTTGGTAAGCTACATTTATGTATATTATATTCTTTCAATAATACATGCACATGGTAAAATTACAAGCTGTGTATACATGAAAAAAGTGAAAAAAGTAAGTCTCTCTCCCATCTCAGTTCCTCAGTTCCAGCCCAGAGGCTATCTCTCTTAATGTTTCTTGGGTATTTTTTCATATGTATTTCCTGCCCTCATTTTGATTTTACACAAATGGTAACATACATATTATACAAATGGTACACACGGATTTGCACTTTTCACTCAACAGTATATTGTGGAGATTATTTTAGCACATTTGATCTGCCCAATTTTCTTCTTATTGACTGCATAGAAGTCATTGTAAAGTTGTATAGTTGTAAAATATGTAATTTATTTATGTTAAAACCATTGGCTGGGGACAGTGGCTCACGGCTGTAATCCCAGCACAGTGGGAGGCTGAGGCAGAAGGACTGCATGAGCCCAGGAATTTGAGATCAGATTGGGCAATGTGGTGAGACTCCGTCTCTAAAAAAAATTTAAAAATTAATTGGGCGTGGTGGCATGCACCTGTAGTCCCAGCTACTTGGAGGCTGAGACAGGAGGATTGCTTGAGCCTGGGAGGTTGAAGCTGCAGTGAGCTGTGTTCCTGCCACTGCCCTCCAGCCTGGGAGACAGAGCAAGGCACTGTCTCAAATCCCTGCCCCACTCCCCTTTCCCCTGCCCAAACCATTAAAGAACACAATATTATTTACTACCAAGTGCTATGGTAGCTATCCTTTGTGTATATCGCTGAGCATATGATGTGCTGATACCTATAGGATTAAAGAATTGCCAATTATGTGCACTTTAAAGGGGTAAGAGATAGGCCAAAATCCTCTTTTTAGAGGTACCAATTTACATTCTTGGAGACTTTTCAAAAACACAAAATTTGAGGCTATTCTGTATTTCAATTCATGAGAACTCTGTGGGTAGGACCTGGGAATCTGCATTTTACTTCTTTTGTGATTAAAAACAATCTGCAGAATGGAGTGAGGAACCAGAGGGCAGATCCCCCTTGAGCCCCAAGCTGCTATTCCTCTTGGGCTACCTTGGGCTGCTATTTATTTATGCGACTATTCTATCTCCTCACCACAGTAAAAGTTTCCTAACGGCAGGCCTCAGGATTGCTGCCTCTTTATATTCTTACTTTGGAACAGTGCATTGTACAACAACGTTTGTCGATGATGATTGTCTGTGTCTCATATGATTTTTTTTTTTTTTTTTTTAGTTCCATGGACCAAAGACAGAAGAGAATCCTCAGCCAGCCCCTTTCTATCCCTACTTCCCAGACCAAGAAGAAAAAGACATCAGTGATATCTTTATTTTCCAAGGTCTGACACAAAATACCATGAACAAATTTTTCCTCCCAGCCACTGTTTTGTAAGATGTGTATTTGCCTGGTGTGCGGTTAATTAGGCCTGCTCCACTGAAGTTCCTTCTGAAAAAACGTCGATGACAGTTCTTTTAACAGGGATAGGATGTTTACAGGATGACAAGAAGATTAGTTGAGAATAATTTAACTTGCTGCTAACCCAATAATACAGATATGGAATGAGGCCGGGTGGGGTGGCTGATACCTGTTAATTCCAGCACTTTGAGAGGCTGAGGCGGGCAGATCAATTGAGCTCAGGGGTTCTAGACCAGGCTGGGCAACATGGCGAAACCCTGTCTCTGCCAAAGATACAAAAATTAGCTGGGCATGGTGGCATGCACCTGCCATCCCAGTTACTCAGGGCCGAGGTGGGAGGATCGCTTGAGCTGGGGAGGTAGGTGTTGCAGTGAGCCAAGATCATGCCACTGCACTGCAGCTTGGGCAACAGAGAGAGACCCCATTTCAAACATAAATAAATAAATAAATAAATAAATAAAATAAAATAAAAGATAAAAAAAGGAATGAACTGTGATAAAAATTCAGGAATAATAGGGAAGCTTCGAAATCACCAAATCTCATCCACAGACCTACTGAGATAGCCAAATCTCAAGCCAGTCTCCCCGCCCCCCTGGCCCCTTTCTAAGGATGGTGGGGAGGTGGCTTTTGTCTTTGATGTTGTCTGGATCTTCCATCATCTTGATTCTGACTCCAGTACATGTTGCTGTTTTCTGGGTCCTGCTTCACACCAGGGTCTTCCTGGCATGAGAGTTCATAGGCTTACTACAAAGGCTCAGAGACTTGCCCATCTCCTGCCCCATCCCTGGCTCTGAAATTACTGAGTTTAGGGTTTTTGTTTGTTTGTTTGTTTGTTTGTTTGTTTTATTTTTTAAGACATGGTTTCACCATGTTGGTCAGGCTGGTCTTGAACTCTCGACCCCAGGTGATCCGCCCGCCTTGGCCTCCAAAGTGCTTGGATTACAGGCATGAACCACCACGCTCAGCCCTCATTTCTGCATCAGACACACAGTGTCTCCCAATTTGCATTATTCATACATTTCTCTTCCTGCTCTTAATTGCATGCTCGGATGCATTCATTCTGGTGTTGGAACATCCTTTAAGTGCCCTGAAATGTTTGTAGATGTGTACTAGATTAATCCTGAAATGTCTGTAGATGTGTACTAGATGTTTGCAGATATGCTTTGCTAATTGTGTCAAGTGATACTGAGAGGTCGAGTAAGGTGACTACTGAGAACTGACCCTTGGAATTAGCCATATGGCAAGGTAGGGGTGAGGGGACATCAGCCTGATTGCGAAGGGTTCAAGAGACAATGGGAAGAGACAAATGGGAGAAAACAAGTACAGATGTTTTTCAAGGCATTTGGCTACAAAGGAGCGCAGAAAAATAGGAACGAGCTGGAGAAGAGGGGTAAAGAGAGCTCCTTGAGATGGGAGGAGTAACAGACACCTTTCCCTGTGAAAGGGGTCCCTATTCCCAGGACACTTCAACACTGAATCGAGTCCTCTTTCTTTCAACTTCGATCACACCCACAGCTGCTCTAGAGCCCCTCCCCGTAATCTCCTAAACCTACCCCATCACCAGCCTGCACTACCTTTCTTGCCCTCTTTCCTCTTCCTCCATCAATTTCTTCATTATGTAGACCAAATGAGTTCATTTCCAACAAAACCCAGGCATCTTTCATTGGAGAAAGAAGGAGTCAAATTGAGCAGACAATTGCAGAATTTTCCTTTGAGGGAGGGATTGGGGCTGGGATTAGGCATGGCTCCGAACGGTCCTAAATTAATACATTTTTGATCCACCCCCCAGGTCTCTTGGAAACTGAAGTTTCGGAAGTGGGAGCCTCTGAAGAATGCGTTTTTTGTCTTGGCCGAAAGAGCCCGGGACCCCAATGCTAAAAAGCGTCACATGGCAATGAGAGGCTTGGGAACCATGGCCTGCGAAGCTCCTGACAAGGTAGGGAAGAAGGGTGGGGCTCAGCCAGCCCCCCAAGCCTCTCCAGCCCTCTTGGTGTGGAGTCCCCAGGGCTGGAGTATGGTCTCTGATGTATTCGTTACCTATCGCCCTGGAACAAACCACCGCACACTTAGCAGCTTAGAGCAACACGTGTTTATCATCTCGGTTTTCGTGGGTCAGGAGTCCAGGTGCAGCTCAGCTGGGTCCTCTGCTCAGGCTTTCAGGAGGCTGCAATCAAGTGTCAGCTAGACTGCATTCCTTTCTGAAGCTCAGGGTTTGCTTCTGTGGTTGTTGGCAGAATTTAGTTACTTCCCGTTGTGGGACGGATGTTTCTGTTTTTTTCTTTGCCTGCTGTCTGTCCGGGGGGCCACTCTCAATGCCTAGAGGCCACCTTCTCACAGCCGGCAGCTCACTTCCTCCAGGCCAGCAGGAGGGTTTCACCTCCTCCTGTCTGCTAAGATAGAGTCTTATGGGCCAAGCAGTGGTGGCTCACGCCTGCAATCCCAGCACTTTGGGAGGCCAAGGCCAGCAGATCACTTGAGGTTAGGAGTTCAAGACAAGCCTGGCCAACATGGTGAAACCCCATCTCTTTTGTATTTTTGTAAACATATAAAAAATTAGCCAGGCGTGGTGGTATGTGCCTGCAGTCCCAGCTAGTCAGGAGACTGAGGCAGGAGAATTGCTTGAACCTGGGAGGCAGAGGTTACAGTAAGCAGAGATCACACCATGCACTCTAGCATGAGCAACAGCGTGAGACTGTCTCAAAAAAAAAAAGAGTCTTATGCAATGTGAAGTCATGTCCGTAGGATGGAAGCGAGTTACAGGTTTCTTCTGCACAAGGATGTCATTCATTTGGGGTCATCTTAGGCTCATGACACCTCAGCGATATCAACTGCATGAGAGAGCTGCAGGCAAGGTAAATTCACAGCTGTTACCCTCCCTGGTGAATTTAAGTGATTTTTTTTTCTAGTAATTTATGTTTGTTTAATAGAATATGTTGTCCCCACCTCCTCCTTTACCATCTGCCAACTTCAGTGCCCATTTTGTCTCTTCCCTACTATAAAGGTAACTAGTACTCCCCAGGCCCCAAGATCACCCAGGTCTGCTGCCCTATTTGGAAAGCCCTACCCAGCCTCACCCACCCACATGCCACTCCAGATTGCTCTTTCTGTTTTCCTTCCTAGGCTGAGTTGGGCTCTTGGGTTGAGTTAATGGAAGCATTTGTATTTTAGTGAGTTGTGCAAACCTTGAAGAAAGCCCTGGTCTCTTAGTTCAAGTCCTAGGTTATTAGTAGCTTAGATGTGGGTTTGCTTTTCGACCCATGGGGAGTAATTCCTGTGCTGCTAATGCTTTCCAAACCTTGGTGACAGGTGAGAAGGTATAAGAAAATTGTCCTGGACCTGCTGGTGTGTGGATTGTATGACCCTGTGAGTTTGGAAGTCATCCATGAAAGTATGAAGACTCTGACCATCGTCCTGGGCAAGATCCAGGGGAAAGGTTTGGGCTCCTTCTTCATAGACATCACCCTTCAGACCAGGACTTTATTAGACGATGTAAGTGAAACAGAAAAATTCTGGGCTATTGAAATCAAAGTGGGATTAGAAATGTGACTGTGGGGCCGGGCTTATGTCTGTAATCACAGCACTTGGGAAGGCCAAGGTGGGCAGATCACTTGAGGTCAGGAGTTTGAGACCAGCCTGGCCAACATGGTGAAACCCTGTCTCTACGAAAATACAAAAATTAGGCCAGGTGCAGTGGCTCATGCATGTAATTCCAACATTTTCAGAGGCTGAGGTGGGCAGATCACCTGAGGGCAGGAGTTCAAGACCAGACTGGTCAACATGGAGAAACGGCATCTCCATAAAAAATATAAAAATTAGCTGGGCATGGTGGTGCATGTCTGTAGTCCCAGCTACTTGGGAGGATTGCTTGAACCTGGGAGGTGGAGGTTGCTGTGAGCTAAGATCGCACCATTGCACTCTAGCCTGGGCAACAGAGTGAGACTCTGCCTCAAAAAGAAAAGAAAAGAAATGTGAGCTGTGGGTGGTTTGTTGCTGTGGGCACAAGGTCTTTATTATTCACTTATTTATTAACACATCTTGTTGAGAGACTAGTACTGTGCCAGGGGTTGGGAGGATATATCAAGATGTATAGAATTCTATCTCTACCTCCCAAGGGTGTTTTTGTTTTTTGTTTTTTGTTTTTTTGAGACAGGGTCTCTCTGTCACCCAGACTGGAGTACAGTGGCATGATCTCAGCTCACTGCAATCTCCACTTCCTGGGCTCAAGCAATCCTTCGACCTCAGCCTCCCAAGTAGCTGGGACTATAGGCACACGCCACCACACCCAGCTAATTTTTGTGTTTTTGTTAAAAATGGTTTTCACTTTGTTGCCCAGGCTAGTCTCGAACTCCTGGGCTCAAGTGATCCACCTACCTTGGCCTCCCAAAGTGTTGGGATCACAGGCATGAGCTATTGCATCTGGCAAGTTTTCATCTTAATAGAGAAGTGGGTATATGTACACTAATGATGATGTGGATTGACTAATGATGTTGACACTGGTTGACTAACATGTAGTCAATGCTGTCTTATAAATGAGACAATAGCAATGATTAGCGTTTAGTGAGCCCTCGCTGTGTGCCAGGCACAGTGCTAGGCAGTTTACATGGATCATCTCATAGAATCTTCACAATAAACCTGTGAGATGGACTCTGAAATTGTCTTCACTTTGTAGACAAGGAAACCAAGGCACAGAAAGGCTAGAACTTGCCCAAGTTGACAGAGCCAGGAAGTGGACATGCCACCAGCTCCTCTGACTATAGGGCTGCACTCTTAACTGCGAGATGACAAGTCAGGCTAAGCAAAAGGTGCACCAGCACATAGTTCAGTCCAAAACTGAGAAGAGTCAGAGACCCTAACTGCAAGCTAACAAGTTAGCCTGCCAGTTATTCTGTCCCTGAAAGACGAGACCTATGGAACAGTGAACAGACCTTTTATTTACTCCCAGAGCAACCTGTTATCTCACTACACCCTAATATTCTCTCCGGAGCCACATGGCAAGAGCCAAATGTGTCAGCAGCACAGGAGGGGAAAAGTGGCCTTGACCTTGTGTAACTTGGAGCTCATATAGAAGCTGGGCAAATTTGTCCGTCCTGTTCCAGAGACAGAGGGATTTTTGCTCTTGAATGTAAGCCAGTCCTCTCTGGAGATGGAGTGAGGGAAGGTCCCTACTTACCACCCTTGAGTATAAGCAGATGTCTCTGGGGAGATGGCTCTAAATCTCTTGGAGGTGTCATCTGAACTTCCAGGACTTGTCAGTCAACCACTTTTTTTTTTTTTTTTTTTTTTGACACAGGGTCTCACCCAGGCTGGAGTGCAGTGGCAGGAACACAGCTCACTGCAGCCTCAACCTCCCAGGCTCAAGCGATCCTCCCACCTCAGCCTCCTGAGTAGCTGCGATCACAAGTGCATGCCACTGTGCCTGGCTAATTTTTGTAGTTTTTGTAGAGATGGTCTTGCTATGTTGCCCGGGCTGATCCCAAACTCCTGGGCTCAAGCGATTCTCCTGCCTTGGCCTCCCGAAATGCTAGGACTTTAGGCATGAGCCACGGTGCCTGGCCTTCAACCATTTTTAAAACTCTGGTTACATGGAATTTTTGAGCAGAAATCCCGGGCCATATAGAAACACAAAAATTCTTTTTTTTTTTTTTTTTTTTTTAAAAAGACAGGGTTTCACCATGTTGGTCAGGCTGGTCTTGAACTCCCAACCTCAGGTGATCTGCCCACCTTGGCCTCCAAAGTGTTTGGATTACAGGCGTGAACCACTATGCCCGGCCAAAACACAAAAATTCTTATGCAGAACTGTTTGCTGACAGTTTATATCTCGATTATAGATAGCACTCTTCACTCTCTGAGGCCATGCTGCTCACCCGTGCGTGTATTCCCAGTTAGATGGTGTCAGACTCCTAGGGGAATGGGCACCTGTCTTACGTGTCTGTACATCTTACAGCATTGGGGTTTGGCTTCGGATGGGGTACATTCTCCATTAAAATTCGTTAAATTAAACATGCGCACACACTCTCACTGCTAGAACAGTGAAGATAATACAACTCTAAGCCAGGCATGGTGGTGTGTGCCTATAATCCCAGCTACTCAGGAGGCTGAAGCAGAAGGATCACTTGAGTCCAGGAGCTGGAGGCCGGCCTGGGCAATGTAGCAATATGCTATCTCTCTCTCTTGAAAAAAAAAAAAAAAAAAAAAAAATTTAAAAAAGCAACCCTAAGGCAATTTCTGTATGCATCATGTGCTAATTTTTAAAAGATACTTCACAATATGATTAGTGGTCCTCAGTCTTGCTGGATCTCTGTGATCCCCAGTTCTTGGCGCTCCTTCTCCCCTGTGAAGGCCTACCCCAGCCCTGCTCCCTCTGGTTTACCTGCAGCAGGACTTAGACTACAAAACACTGATATAGAAACCTGTGCACCAGGAGTCAGATGTCTGGGTTACTATACTGCCCCCGCTACCTGACAGTGTGGTTTTGGGCAAGTTGCTTAAATGCCTTGGGTTTTGGTCTCCTCTCCTGGAAAAGTAATACTTGGACCAAACAGCTCACCTTGGAGAGAAAGAGAAGGCTGAGTCCACTGAAATGCACTCAGGGACAAACCGACCAATCAGACTGAAAGCAGGGAGAGGTGGGAGGGTGTTGGGGGAAGAAACATGATTATTATATCCACTGCAGATGGGAGAAACTCAGACCACGGGCAGAGAGAAGAGACTTGGGGAAATGCTGCAGTAATAAACAGGGAACTGGTGGAATAAATTTTGGTGCAGAAAAGGAGAAGAGAAAAAAGAAAAGAAAAAGAAAAATGGAAACTCCTTCATGTATAGACATAGAAAGAGCTCTCAGACTGATGAAAAATCAAGGTGCATAACAACAGTGGCCGGATGCTTCCATTTACGTAAAAAAGAGGGAAAGGACTATACAGTAAATATCTTTCTTGTTTATTTCTGGAGAGATACATGCAAACATTATTGGCTTGTGGGGAGGAACATTTGGTGGCCAATGGAGAGGAGTAGAATGTAGACCTACTTTTTCTTTTCTTTTTTCTTTTTCTTTTCTTTTTTTTTTTTGAGGCGGAGTTTTGCTCGTTACCCAGGCTGGAGTGCAATGGCGCGATCTCGGCTCACCGCAACCTCCGCCTCCTGGGTTCAGGCAATTCTCCTGCCTCAGCCTCCTGAGTAGCTGGGATTACAGGCACGTGCCACCACGCCCAGCTAATGTTTTGTATTTTTAGTAGAGACGGGGTTTCACCATATTGACCAGGATGGTCTCGATCTCTTGACCTCGTGATCCACCCGCCTTGGCCTCCCAAAGTGCTGGGATTACAGGCGTGAACCACCGCGCCCGGCCAGACCTACTTTTTCTATAAAGCTTTTGGTTATTTTGAATTTTGGGAACTTTATAAATGTAGTCTATCTCCAAAACGTGAAAGGATGAACAAAAAGTCTGGGAACGTGGGAGTAGCACCAGTGATTTCCCAGGCTAGTCCTCTTGTCTGCTGGAGAAGAGGTACATTGAAAACTTGGGCCCTCTTCATGCCATCCCCTACCCACCCAGCTAAGTGCTTTAGACCAGATCTCACTGCTCACCCTGTAATGTACATCCAAGATTGATGGCTGTGATGTGTTCTGACTGACAGCCGTGATGTGTTCTGATGTAGCTGCCTTTTGGTAATGATCTGGCTTTCTTGTTGTTTTGTTGATGGGGACCGCAGGAGAATGACAGTCTGAGATACTCGGCCTTTGTTTTGTTTGGGCAATTGGCTGCCTTTGCTGGGAGGAAATGGAAGAAATTTTTCACCAGTCAGGTTAAGCAGACGCAAGATTTACTCCTGATCCATTTACAGGACAGAAATCCCCAGGTTGCCAAGGTAAGACCTTGACTCTGCAACAAACAGAGTGTCATCTCCATGCTATTCATAAAGGGAGCTGTGAGTTGAGAGGCCAGACCCTGAGGTTCCTGCCAGTGCTGCTGTGGATACTGGGCAGTGTATCTGTATGAATCCTAGACACGGTGCCTCTCCAGTGTGTGATCTCTCTTTGAGCAAGAGTGTTATTTTCCATCTGCTCCACCTGCCCAAGCCCAGCACCTGTCAATGCTAGATAAGCTCAGGGTAATGGGGTTGGGGGCAGAGAGGCACAGATTTAATCAATGGTGCAGCAGCCTATGTAATGAGGATATTTATTCATGCCCAATTAGCTTTTGTCATTGTGCCTGGTATAGATTTCCTACCTGTGGCTTCTTTCTTTTCTTTTTTTTTTTTTTTGAGACAGAGTTTTGCTCTTGTTGCCTAGGCTGGAGTGCAATGGCGTGATCTTGGCTGACTGCAACCTCTGCCTCCCGGGTTCAAGTTATTTTCCTGCCTCAGCCTCTTGAATAGCTGGGATTACAGGTGCCTGCCATCATGCCTGGCTAATTTTTTATATTTTTAGTAGAGATGAGGTTTCACCATGTTGGCCAGGCTGGTCTCAAACTCCTGACCTCAGGTGATCCACCTGCCTTGGCCTCCCAAAGTGCTGGGATTACAGGCATGAGCCACCTTGCTTGGCTCCACCCATGGCTTATTAATTTCTTCTGGAAGTTTTGTTTTATTCTTGGAGAAAATGTGTCCTAAAAGGGTTGGATCAACTTCAGGCCTGCTTTGGGGTGGGACTGGGTGAACGTTTCAAAACAATGAGAAGAAAAGCGTTCTACCAAACCACTTGTCTTCTTTAAATTACTGAGAGAGAGAGAGAGAGAGAGAGAGAGAGAGAGAGAGAGAGAGATTAAATTTAGGAATCCAGTACTACTTTTGATGGGATAAAAACAAGGGCTGTGCTAAACTGTAAAGCTATGCCCTTCCCACCAGTCCCCAAATTATAGATATGGCCATTTTATAAGCATATACCCTTTAAGATTCAAATCTTGAAATGACTGGAAGTTACTTTCACACTCTTAGTGGCCCCCTGACCACAGCTTGAGTGCAATCCTCTAGGATACTTTTCCTTAGGATTATAGAACTCTAATATTTTTGACAATAAAATAGTAATATTATTTTTCTCTCAGGCTTGCAAAACAACATTTCGAGCCTGTTCTCCATATCTGAAACTAAGGAAGGAATACAGCTTCCAGAATGAAGAAGATCAAAGGAACCCTAAACTCTGCCGGCAGCTGGTGAGTGAGCCAGGGTAGGAGAGAACTCTCTTCCGGTCCCTGCCTTCCTGGTGGTTAGCACAGAAGGTGGCCAAGCACAAGAAAGAGTTACCCCCATAAAACAACTCAGGCCAACTATTTATTTATTTATTTTTTGGACAGAGTCTTGCTCTGTCACCCAGGCTGGAGTGCAGTGGCGCCATCTCAGTTTACTGCAGGCTTCACCTCCGGGTTCAAGCAATTTTCATGACTCAGCTTCCTGAGTAGCTGAGATTACAGGGCGTGCACCACCACATCCAGCTAATTTTTCTATTTTTCGTAGAGACGGGGTTTCGCCATGTTGTCCAGGCTGGTCTCGAACTGATCTCAAGTGATCTGTCTGCCTTGGTCTCCCAAAGTGCTGGGATTACAGGCGTGAGCCAGCATGCCTGGCCAAGCCAACTATGTTTTGATTGTAGTTGACCCATCATACAATGTAAATGGCAAAACGCCTAGACGATCAAGCACGAGATATATTGGCAGTTTCAGGTCAGATCACTAGCTGGAGGCAGGTGATGCCTGCATTGACAACTGCCTACTAGTTAGATAGTCAAGGAAGTTTGCTGAATCCCTCCCTCACGAGTACCATTGTTAATTTCTTTCAGAGCCACTATCATCCAGAGCTCCTGCAGTTCTTCTACGCAAACAAAATTCTGTAAGCGCAGAGCAGCAGGGAAATGGTTCTATGTGAGTGCATTGCTGAGCCATCAACTTCTCCTTTTTCTCTCATTGGATACCTCTTCTGCTCACCTCTTGGGATTGTAATGGAAAAGAGGGTGCTAGGAGAGCAATCAAAGGCAGAAAAAATACATGGAATTTATGATTATATCTAAAGTAAAATTCTAGACTGTTTTCACTTATTTTCTCTTCACACAAATTTCACGAGGAGGTATACAGTTTTTTTTAAACTTTCCAAGTGTGTATAGATTCAGTGCTTATTTCTCACCTTTTTCTTTCTTTTTTTTTTTTAAAGATGGGGTTTCACCATGTTGGTCAAGCGGGTCTTGAACTCCCGACCTCAGATGATCTGCCGGCTTTGGCCTCCAAAGTACTTGGATTACGGATGTGAACCACCACGCCCAGCCTTTTTCTTTCTTAAGTTCATCTCTGTCACGTATCTCTTATTTTAAATATTTAATTTCTGAGCCTTAGGAGAATACTTGTTACCTTAAGGTTTTTTTTGTTTTGTTTTGTTTTTTAAGTGTATTTGCTATTGATACTTTGCTATTGATACCTTTTCTTGCCATGATTTATTTAAAGTTGGCCAAGATACCAAGAAGGTGGCTTGGAGGGGTATCTTTGGCTTCTCATGATTTTAAACAGTCATTGCTTTTAAGATCATCCTAAACAAGAATTAATAGTGTGAGAATCATCTATGAAGCATGCATTGAAAATCCTCAGGCTCATGATAACTTATGGGATAATAATAGTAGGTAACACTTAACTGAGTGCTTACAATTTAGTGGGCATGTTTGAAGTGCTTTTTGTAAGTTCTGTTTGATACTCGCCACAACCCTATGAGATAGTAAGTACTATTATTATTTCTCATTTTATAGATGAGAAAGCTAAGACACAGGGAAATTCGGTAACTTGGCCAAGATAACTCAGTAAATGTTGGAGCTGGAATTCACATGCTTACGGTCTTACTTCTTGAGCCCATACTCAATAATCATGCCATCCTGCCTCTCTGTGGAAAACTGATGGATGATTAGAAATGCTAAAAGCAAAACAAACACAAACTTCTCTGCGTCTGCTCCTCTACTAAGCCCAGTTCACTTTTGCTTTTACATGTACTAAGTATACACCTTTATTAATTTATGTGAGCTGAGTATATATTTTTATTAATTAATTTTTGGCTATTAATGCCAATTATTTTATTATTTTGGTGATCAATCCTAGTTATCTGAGGAGTTACATCACTCATAAAAATTATAAGAAAAATCTCTCAGTCCATCTTACTCTCCCTCCAACCAGATTGCATCCCAAGCTTCTATAGACACTCTGGTACCACTACTGAACTCAGTATCCAGGCCCCAACTGGAGCATTTTGTTCGAGACAATTTAAAATATGAGAGATTATAAAAGCTACAATGAGATCTTAAATGGCATTCTGAGAACCAGGAACTCAATTTTCTGCTGCTGCTTCCAGGGACAGGGTGGTGTAACACAGATGCAGGGGTGAGGAGAACCCTAGGCAAGACGAGGATGTGGGAGATGGCAGACGAAGTGGCAGGTGCCAGGCAGGAGTGGATTTTCCTCCTCGCTGTTTTGAGTCTGAAGAACATGACAGAAGGAGACTTTAGGAGGGACACAGGCTCAAGAGCAAACGGGTAGTTCTGAGCTGTAAGCCCCCGGCCCCTCCCCAGCACCTGCTTGCCTCTTTGAAAGTTTGTTGCAAGGTTGCTTTAAACTTGATGCAGTTCCATTAAATGATCAGTGAGTGGCATGAGAAGTGGCTGCATTTGGCTGCCATTCAAAAAGGTGGGGATAGGGTGAGACGGGTGAGGTTACATGCTCTAGAGTAGAAATGGCTATGCAGTTAACGTCCCTCTGTTGGTTAAAATTGTGGAAGACGAGGTTGGATTATTAAAGATTCCATGGTAGCCTATTCTGGTGGCCCCAATGAGTCATGCCTCCTGATACTCATGTCCTTATTTAGTCCCTTCTGTTTGAATCTGGGCTAGCTTTGTGACTGACTTTAACAAGGAGGTTGTGATGAATGGCACTGTGCCTAGAAAACCAGGCAGTTTCCTCTTTTGAATTCGGGGGAAGCCAGCTGCCACATAAGAGGTTGAAGTACTAGGAACAAAGGAGAGAGGCTGAGATCACCATGTGAGGGAGAACGGAGACACCTAACCCACAGCTGAGTTCGAGGCCCAGACACATGACATAAGTTGTCCTTTCCAGCCCGACCCCAGCTGTTGAAGCTACTCCAGCTGACACCCTATGGAAAAGAGACGAGCATCTCCATCAAGCCCGTCTCAATTGCAGAAGCATGAACAAGGAATCAAATGATTGTTGTTTTAAGTCATTAACTTTGGGATAATCTGTCACACAGCAATAAGTAACCAAAAAAAGATTCCTTATTATTAACTGTTATTTTGGCTAATTTTTGTTTTGCTCTTCATAAATCCTCTTTGAGTTTATATTTCCAGAAATTTATGTTATCATGAACTTTGGTGGCAATAGCAAGGGACTGTTTTCTTTTCTTTCTTTCTTTTTTTTCTGTGTCTCACCATACCTATCACAGGGTCTGCCACGTGATTAAGAAACAGTTGCTGAATGACTAAATGATTCCAGATTGTAGAGGGAATAAAGTCCAAAGTCTGGTCTGCAATTCCAGGCTTTCAACCTTCCTTTTCTTCTGTTACTCTCTTTGCTTCAGTCAGGTTTGGGTCCTTTCTCTTCCCTCGATGTGTCTTGGTCTCCTCTGCCCCTTCACCTTTGTTCTTTCTGAATTGAATCCCCTCTCCTGCTCACCTGTGCACACCCACATGGACACACACACATTTCACATGTGTATCTTATCTGTACTCCAATGCCTAGGGCAAAGGCCTGTTCCTCCCAATCGGGGAAGAGCCTGAGTGTCTGAATTCCCAGAACATTCTAGCAATATTATGCCACTTATATCTTATCTGAAAGGCTTTTTTCTTTTTCCCAGTATGTCTTTTTATATTTCTTTCCTGTTAGATTGAAGCTACGGAAGGCAGGGCTCTATCTTGCACATCATTGTATCTCCCTGGTGACTGCAAAAGTACTCAGTAAATGAATGTTGATTAGGGGGAAAAAAGTCAGAAAGTTATCTGAAGCCATCACTCCTTCCTGGGAGGAACCCATTTTGACAAATGAGGGGCGTCGATTTCATTCCTTCTGACCAATCTGCAGGTTACTTTCATGCTCGTGCATTTCAAGTTTCCCCTTCCCCATGTTTATTTGAATGCCAACCCAAGGGTTGTTTTAACATTTCTTAATTTTGAACATTACTGAGCAGTTGAATGAAAGAAAAAAGGAATGTTCAAGTGCCCCACCCCCCATACTAAGTGCTCAGCATAGAGCTATGCTTGGTCCCCTGTGTCCGGGTCCTCATGAGATGGGTCTTTCTTTCTTTTTTTCATTTTTTTTTTTTTTTTTTTTTTTGAGATGGAGTCTCACTCTGTCTCCCAGGCTGGAGTGCAATGGCCTCATCTTGGCTCACTGCAACCTCCACCTCCTGGGTTCAAGTGATTCTCCTATGTTAGCCTCCTGAGTAGCTGGGATTGCAGGTGCCTGCCACTATATCTGGCTAATTTTCATATTTTTAGTAGAGACAGGGTTTCATCATGTTGGCCAGGCTGGTCTCGAATTCCTGACCTCAAGTCATCCGCCTGCCTTGGTCTCCCAAAGTGCTGGGATTACAGGTGTGAGCCACCACTCACGCTATCACCAGCTGAGAGAGGTCTTTCTTTTTCTTTCTTTCTTTTTTTTTTTTTTTTGAGACGGAGTTTCGCTCTTGTTACCCAGGCTGGAGTGCAATGGCGCGATCTCGGCTCACCGCAACCTCCGCCTCCTGGGTTCAAGCAATTCTCCTGCCTCAGCCTCCTGAGTAGCTGGGATTACAGGCACACGCCACCATGCCCAGCTAATTTTTTGTATCTTTAGTAGAGACGGGGTTTCACCATATTGACCAGGATGGTCTCGATTTCTTGACCTCGTGATCCACCCGCCTCGGCCTCCCAAATAGCTGGGATGAGAGGTCTTTCTTAAAAGGGAGAGGGAAGTGGTGAGAGAGGGGAGAGGAAATGACAGAGGAAGAGGCTGAGAATCTAACAGGTGTGACCAGTTCTGCTGATCAATGACAGCAGAAGCCTGTGAACTTCCAGTCAATAGACTACTTAATGGAGGAATGCTTCACATGTTATGAAAAACCCTGGAGTGTTTTGAAAGTGAGAAACAATAGCTGTATAGGCTAGCTAGCAGTTAGTGTTGTAAGGAAGACAGATATTTGTGCATTTCTGCATTTTCCAAGTTTCCTGCAATGAGCATGTGTTACTTTTACAATTATAAAACACATGCAAAAGTGCCCTTTTAAAATGAAAAAAAGTCCATGAGTGTAAGTGACATGCTTTGGAAAGCCTGGGTGCTCGTTGTTCACTCTTGGTAGTATGTGTTTGTCTTTGTCCTTTTGAGACATTTTGTTTTAATCTGTTGATGACAATAACCTGTTGATGATATAACTTGTTGATGACAAATAAAATAACTTATGATTGATTATCACTGTCTTTAGATTACTGAACTTACATTATTTCCATGTGACCACAGTAGAGTATAAGTCTTTTGTTCCTTTATTTACATGTTAAGTGGTTTCAAGAAAACCCTGGGTTCTAGATAAACCCAACACATCCTAATTTTCTGAAAAGAGATGATTTGATTGACAGTGACACCTATTATTTACCAAGTTAAGCATGACTCCCAAGCCAGACTTCCAAGCCAGACTTCTAAGATTCCTTATGATAAACACCAACCTAGAATTTCCCGTGATGCTTCCTCAATTCCTACTGTCTGAAATACTTCACTCTCCAGTTCCTTGTTTCTATCAACCATTCCCCGGACTGATTCCAAATGCCCTTTTCTTCAGAGGTAGAGCAGAGCCTCTGGGAGGATGCAGCCTGGCTCTGCCATTTAGCCATGTGTGGGCAAGTCAGCGCACCAAGCCTCAGTGTGCTGATCTGTGAAATGAAGACAATAACCCAATGCACAGAATTGTTGGGCTGCAAAGATTCAATTAAGTCACACTGAGCACTTGGCACAGTCTTGGTGCATAGAAGATGCTCAGGAAATGTTAGGTATTTTTGTTCCTCATTCCCAACAAATTCTCCAGACA